AAAATTGTGTTCTTTTTATCGCTCATCTCTCCTTCTCTTCCCCTTCTCTTCTCCTGTTCCCCTTTATATGACAAAAACACAAGAAAGGAAGAACAAGAGGGGAATGGAGGCCCTTTTCCTGTCTTCTCCTGTTGCAATGAATAAGGAAAAGAGCATAGGAGATAAGGAAGGGAATTGAAGAGTAAATGGGCGATGGAACGGGTGTTCTTTTTGATAGTTTTCTGCATCTTCAAGGGAGAAAAAAGGACATCCCCCAAGGAGGAAAAGTAACATAAGAGATAGGGAGGAAAATTGAAGAGCTACTCTCTTTACCTAGTCATTCCCTGTCCTCTCTTCTTATCTGTTGTTTTTCTTATTCGCTTCAAAAAGCCAAATAAGGGAAAGGCGATTTCCTGAAGAGGAAGAAGGGCACCTATCTATCTGTGAATAGCAAGATTGGTTTTTTCTAATTAGGGAGAGACAAGGGAGATATATAAAGCTTTGCGACAAGTTTTGTCACTCCGTCTCCTTGCTTCCTGTCTGTTCTATTCCTTGCAGAGATAAGGGAGAGAGGATAGATAAAGAAGAGTGCCATCTTCTTTGCGCCTTGTTTTGTCTCTCCCTCTCCTTTATTCATCTCTCTTCCATTCTTTTCTTGGCTCTTCCCCTTAAAATTGTCTTCCTTTCATCGCTCCTCTCTCCTTCTCTTCCCCTTCTCTTCTCCTGTTCCCCTTTATATGACAAAAACACAAGAAAGGAAGAACAAGAGGGGAATGGAGGCCCTTTTCCTGTCTTCTCCTCTTGCAATGAATAAGGAAAAGAGCATAAGAGATAAGGAAGGGAATTGAAGAGTATATGGGCGATGGAACGGGTGTTCTTTTTGATAGTTTTCTGCATCTTCAAGGGAGAAAAAAGGACATCCCCCAAGGAGGAAAAGTAACATAAGAGATAGGGAGGAAAATTGAAGAGCTCCTCTCTTTACCTAGTCATTCCCTGTCCTCTCTTCTTATCTCTTGTTTTTCTTATTCGCTTCAAAAAGCCAAATAAAGGAAAGGCGATTTCCTGAAGAGGAAGAAGGGCGCCTATCTATCTGTGAATAGCAAGATTGGTTTTTTCTAATTAGGGAGAGACAAGGGAGATATATAAAGCTTTGCGACAAGTTTTGTCACTCCGTCTCCTTGCTTCCTGTCTGTTCTATTCCTTGCAGAGATAAGGGAGAGAGGATAGATAAAGAAGAGTGCCATCTTCTTTGCGCCTTGTTTTGTCTCTCCCTCTCCTTTATTCATCTCTCTTCTATTCTTTTCTTGGCTCTTCCCATTAAAATTGTGTTCTTTTTATCTCTCCTCGCTCCTTCTCTTTCCCTTCTCTTCTCCTGTTCCCCCTGAAATGACAAAAACGCAAGAAAGGAAGAACAAGAGGGGAATGGAGGCCCTGTTCTTTTCACAATGGATGGGGCAAGTGAGCGGGGTTGGCTCCTTGTCCGTAGACCCTCCCCATGCTTCAGCAAATCCTTCCTCTCGCCCTATCGCCTCTGTTCTTTTCCTTGTTCCCAAACGGAAAAAGTGAACGGGTTCCTGAAGACGAGAGAGGGCGCCTTTTTTTTCATTATAGAGGGAAAAGGGAAAGACAAGCAAGGGAGAGATGATAGATAAAGATCAGTGCCATCCGTCTCCTTGTTTCTTGTCTTTTCTCTTCTTTTCAATACCCTTCCAGAAAATTTAAATGACCTCCTTGTTGTCTCTCCTCTCTCACTTCTCTTTCCTTTCTCTCCTTCTGTTTCCGTTTAGCTGATAAACCACAAGAAAGGAACTTGTATGATAAGGGCAGTGGGAGGGTAAGCAGAGGGTGACTCCTTGCGTGTGGACCTTGCCATACTTCATCATATCACTCTTTTCGGCCTATCTCTTCTGCTCTTTTCCTTACCCTTCTCCTTTTCATAATTCTTCCTGCTTAGTTTTTCTTATTTCGAAAAGAAAAAGGGAAGGGAGAGATAAGGGAGATGGGATGGATTAAGAAGAGCGCCATCTTCTTTGCAACTTGTTTTGTCTCTCCCTCTCCTTTATGCATCTCTCTTCCATTCTTTTCTTGGCTCTTCCCCTTAAAATTGTGTTCCTTTCATCGCTCCTCTCTCCTTCTCTTTCTCCTGTTCCCCTTTATATGACAAAAACACAAGAAAGGAAGAACAAGAGGGGAATGGAGGCCCTTTTCCTGTCTTCTCCTGTTGCAATGACTAAAGAAAAAAGCATAGGAGATAAGGAAGGGAATTGAAGAGTAAATGGGCGATGGAACGGGTGTTCCTTTTGATAGTTTTCTGCATCTTCAAGGGAGAAAAAAAGGACATCCCCCAAGAAGGAAAAGTATCGCGCAATTGAAGAGCCCCTCTCTTTACCTAGTCATTCCCTGTCCTCTCTTCTTATCTGTTGTTTTTGTTATTCGCTTCAAAAAGCAAAATTTGGGAAAGGCGATTTCCTGAAGTGGAAGAAGGGCACTTATCTATCTGCGAAGAGCAAGATTGGTTTTTTTCTAATTAGGGAGAGACTTGCCCCGCCTGAGCCTCCCTGGCCTGCTTGTTGTGGCCACATTCCGCTACAGTTGCCCCGCCTGAGCCTCCCTGGCCTGCTTGTTGTGGCCACATTCCGGTACAGTTGCGCTTCCAGAAAAATGCCGTCCAAGTCATCTCTCCTCTCTCACTTCCCTTTCCCTTTTCTCCTTCTGTTTCCTTTCAACTGATACAGCGCAAGAAAGGAACTTGTATGATAAGGCAGTGGAAGGGTAAGCAGAGGGTGACTCCTGGCGCGTGGACCTTGCCATACTTCATCATACCCCTCCTATCGGCCTATCCTTTCCGTTCCTTTCCGTCCCCTTCTCCTTCTCATAGTTCTTCCTTTTTGTTTTCTTATTTCGAAAAGAAAGAGGGCAGGGAGAGATAAGGGGGAGAGGATAGATAAAGAAGAGTGCCATCTTCTCTGCGCCTTATTTTGTCTCTCCCTCTCCTTTATTCATCTCTCTTCTATTCTTTTCTTTGCTCTTCCCAGTACAAATGCAATCCTTGTTGTCTCTCCTCTCTTCTTCTCTCTCCCTTCTCTTCTCCTGTTCCCCTTGATATGACAAAAACACAAGAAAGGAAGAACAAGAGGGGAATGGAGGCCCTGTTCCTTTCTTTTCCTGTTTCAATGGATGGGGAAACTGAGCGGGGTTGGCTCCTTGTCCGTAGACCCTCCCCATGCTTCAGCAAATCCCTCCTCTCGCCCTATCGCCTCTGTTCTTTCCTTGTTCCCAAATGGAAAAAGAAAACGGGTTCCTTTGCATGTTCATTGTTCTTCCTTTTGTTTTCTATTTGACAGGGAAAAGAACAAGAGAAGAAAGATGAAAACGAGCACCATCTTCTCTTAGCCTGATTTTGCACCTCCCTCTCCTGTCTTCATTTCTCTTCCATTCTTTTCATTGCTCTTCCCATTAAAATTGCATTCCTTTTGATCTCTCCTCTCTCCTTTCTCTCTCCCTTCCCGTCTCCTGTTCTCTTTGAATTTCAAAAACACACAAAAGGAAGCTTCTTTTCCTTATTGAATGAAAAAGAAAAAGAAGAAAAGAGATAGGGAAAGACACTGAAGAGCTCCACTGCCTATTGTTTCATTCCCTTTCCTCTCTTTCTATGTGTTGTTTTCCTTGTCGTTTCAGAAAGCAAGCAAAATACGGGCAAGGGGGCTTCCTGAAGAGGAGAGAGATCTGCGAAGACCAAAAAAAGTCTTGTCTTTTGAATTATAGAGGGAAACGGGAGAGGCAAGGAAGGGAGAGATGATAGATAAAGAAGAGTGCCATCCGTCTCCTTGTTTCTTGTCTTTTCTTTTCTTTTCAATACCCTTCCAGAAAATTAAAATGGCCTCCTTGTTGTCTCTCCTCTCTCACTTCTCTTTCCCTTCTGCCGCAGCCAAACAGCGACTTTTTCACGCAGGCTGAAAAAAGAACACGCATACACAGACAGCAAAGAGAAACAAATGAAAATAAGAATAACCAGAAATTCGCAGTTCGTAATGGCGTGCGGCTAGGCCTAGAACCGCTGGGCATGAGATTTGCGTGCCATATGTAGGTGTAAATATGTATTTTTGTATTACGATGTTTATATTCGCTCTTTTAAAGCAATAAGAAAAACCCAAAGCTAAATAGACCCTAAAGGCGGCGGGCTCATATATATATATACATACATACACATTTTGTATGTATATACACATATATGCAATAGCTTAGGCTAGCTGAGGATAGGATGTAGGGGTTTCAGGTTTAGGACTTAGGGCTTAGGGCTTGCTGGTTCAAGGCTGGCCTTCAAGAAGAGTAGTCGTTAAAGCAAAATAGCACACTCACCGATATTCACGAGGAACCCTGTATGCACTCAGCCAGAACAGTAACGCAAAGCCTGTCTCGCGGCTCCTACTACTCCTTCGCGAATTCTCAATCCTCACATTCCTAGAAAACTCTAAACCCTAGTCCTAAACCCTTAAACTTGAACACGCAAATTCAACAGTGCTCGGATCACCTTGAGAATTTCATTAGAGTCTTCGAAACTACGACTGCTGCGCAGCCCAAGGGCTTGCGCCAGTAGCCAACATGGTACTTGCGCACGAGTCATGTCGCATGCCCCGAAAGCCCATACCCTAAACCCAAAACCCTCAACCCTAACCCTAAACCCCAAGCCCGAGCTTCTGAAGCTTCATCCCCAATCGCGACCCAACAATTCCAAATCCGCAAAGATAGGGTCGATGGAAGGATGCATCGACCCAACAGAGAATACACGAGAGAAAAGACAGAGAGAGAGAGAGAGGGGCAGAGAGAGAGAGAGAGAGAGCGAAAGGGAGAGAGAGAAAGATAAGACATAGACAGAGAGGGCATACGTATGAAAGAAAGAGAGAGAGAAAACAAAAAAAAAAACGAGAGAGGGAGAGAGAGAAAGAGATATGAGAAAGGACAGCAAGCAACAGAAACCACGGAGACACACATCTGCAATTCTCCTATAACCCCGCCGTTGCCTCTTCGTCACCCCTTGGGCGCCCCAAAGACCGCACAAGGCCTCCTTGCAATGGATCCGACACGGGCTTGGGGTAACCCTAAACCCCAAACCCCAAACCCTAAACCCTAAGCCTAAAGTCTAAAGCCTAAACCTACAAGGAGCTTCAAGGGTTCACAGGGTTAGGGGGCCAACTAAACCCTAAACCCTAAACCCTAAACCCTAAACCCTAAACCCTAAACCCTAAACCCTAAACCCTAAACCCTAAACCCTAAACTCTCGCCTTAAAGCCTACTCGGCAGAAGCCCGCTGTCTCCCTGCCTGTGGCCGTCGAATGCCGAGACCTAGGGCGGATTGGCATCTTCAGGGGCAAGGGTTTAGGGTTTAGGGTTTAGGGTTTAGGATTTAGGGTCTAGGGTTTAGGGGTACGGCTAAGGCCTAGGTAGGGGAGGGTTCCTTGCGGACCAATTGTGAGCCCCTGGAAGGGTTAGGGCTTTTACCTTAAGTAGGAAAAATGGTGGTGTGGGGTATATGACCGCAATTCTAGGGTTTTTGTTGTCTCCAAGAACTTAGGAGTCCTCCACCCGAACTCCTTGAAGCGCAAAGTAGAGCCTAGCTTCCTAGCGCCCAGGACCGAAACTTCAAAACGAACAACCCGAAACCCTAAACCCTAAACCCTAAACGGCACAGAATATCCTTGGTTTAACTTGGAGGGGAGGGGCGGGGGGGGGCTTGCTTTTCTGAGAGTCCGCAGGTTCAATCCTTAAATCCTGTGCCGCTCGCCCAACCCAAGCAAACCCCAAGTCCCCAAACCGTCCTTCAACAGACTTGTTTCTCAGACTTTTCTTACTTAGGGGTGAATACCCTGGCCCAAAATATGTTAACGTTTTCATTGTAATGGGATTACATATATATGTATATATAACCGTTTTGGTTAACGCTTACCTACCCAGCCCAAGCTTATAAGAAGCAACCAACCACGATTGAATCGCCCGCGTTGTTCTGGTTTCTAGGGTGAGGTGCTACAAAGCCCAAAGCCAAAAAACCTAAACCACCAAAGCCTCCTAAACCCTAAACAAAAAAACCCTAGACCCTAAACCCTAAACCCCTCAACCCCTCAACCCCACAACCCCACAACCCCACAGGTCCGAAATCCACCGCACGGCTCCTCCGAGGCTGCCACGCATGGCGGCTGTCTGTGAGATCACGAGCACATCCACCCAGGCTGTGAAGAGGGCCTTGCTACATCTGGGTTTTAGGGTTTAGGGTTTAAGGTTTAGGGTTTAGGGATAAAAAGGGTTCAGGGGTTTAAGGTGTAGGGTTTGGGGTTTAGGGTTTCGGGTTTAGCGTTTGGGGCATAGTGTTTTGTGTGGGCTCTTTCACGTTCTATAGGGATTCGGGCCCACAGGAAACTTAAAGCTATTTCCAAAGATCAGCCCCTATAAAGTTGTTCTACGTTATTGCTCTACACCCCAAACCCTAAACCCTAAACAGGCCCCTTCGGGGACTGCATTCTCATAGCACAGGCTTCCAGGGCCACAACCCCTGCTAACTTCTGGCGCAGGCGCACAGCACTGGTTTAGGGTGTAGGGTTTAGAGTTTGCGATTTAGGGCTTCCTACCCTTGACATGTTTAACACATAACTTAGAGACCCTTCTGTCTCTTGTACCAGCTGCTAAGTGGCAAATTTTGGAATGAGGTATCCCCTCCTATGATCATAACCCTTTAAGGGACGCTATAGGGTACACAACCCCCAATCCAAACCACGGACCAAAGAGATGAGCCCTGTAGCCCAAAACCCCAAAAACCCAAAATGCCCCAAACCCCCAAGATCCCCCAAAACCCCAATACCCCAAAACCGTAAACCGCACCTAAAATCTAGGGTAACCCAACAGGGATCAGAATTTTGACCACCACCCAACCCCTTCGTAGAACAATTTTGGCCGGCCTGGAGCCGTGCTGCCTGGCAAAGGCCATCTACGGTCTCGCAGAAGTTGGCGGAGCCTGTTTGGGTGGAGGTTTAGGGTTTCGGGTTTAGGGCGTAGGGTTTCGGGTTTCGGGTTTCGGATTTCGGGTCTCGGGTCTTGGGTTGAGGTGTCAGGGTTTGGGGTTTCGGGTTTCGGGTTTAGGTGTCAGGGTCGGGAGTTGCCCTTGACGCTTCAAGGCTTTTAGGGTTTAGGGTCCTCTTAGTAGTCTATTCTTTCAGACGCAAAATCGAGAACCCGAAGCAGTGAAAAGTATGAGCCACCACACCGGCCGGTTTGTTTCAGCGTTGTCTTCCACGATAGGTTCCCGTGACTCTCACAAAGCTCTGCATATAAGAGCGCACAAGGTGCACGAAAGGCAGCGGCCACAACGGTGTTGCTGGGTTGAAGCGGTACGTGACGGACGGGGCACTGCTGTCATGACCACACAAATTTGATCCAGCGACAGCTCGCTACCGGCGGGAGCGCATATAGTTCTTTAGATGCAGAGTAACTCTTTACACTTTAACCGTTGAGGTCACATATAGGTCACCCCGAATGCAGCACCGTCGCAGCCGCGTATCTGCTGTAACTTGTAGAGCTACACAGCTACTGGTATCTACGCAGCTATTGTCTGCCTGCTAGCGAATGCTAGCGAGGCTATCAAGCATGGATTGTTTGCAGGTACGGACAAGGCCACTAGGCAGGGTCGTAGATTCATAGCGCTGACTCCGCATTCTTCATCATGCGTTCAGGAGCCGCTGCGCTGAACTCAAATATGCGAAAGCTGGGGGAGAATTGGGGGGCCCTACCTGGGGAACCGGAGACAACCAAAACATGCTTGACAGCGCCACCCCAGCAGACCCTTAACCCTGAACAAACCCTGAGCCTTGCACCTGAAAACAATTGACTGCGGCCCTGCGTGAGCACCCCTTGCCGCCTTTGACAAAGCGCTTGCGCAGGCCGACCGCCTGCAGGGATTCGGGACTTCGGCCAGTTAGGATTTAGCGTTTTGGAATTGGGAGTTTAGGGTTTCGCGTTTTCGGTCGGGGTTTAGGGTTCAGGGTCTTGTGTTTGGGCTTTCGGGCTTCAAGGATTTGAGGATTGGGGGAGCGGTGGGTTGCGAGAGAGCTGTCCACACCGGGACTCATAGTTTTAACTTTAGAGCCCTGTCCAAGCACTGCAAAATCAAAGCCCTCCAAGCTCTTGTAGTTAAGCAACCCTAAACCCTAAACCCTAAACCCTAAACCCTAAGCCCTAAACCCTAAACCCTAAACCCTCCTGCACATACCCTCCACTGTGCCTTGGTGCTTCGAGTCCAGGCTGCGAGTGCGGAGAGAAGCAGGGCGCTGTCGAACTCCCAAACCTTTCTTTTGCCAGGGTTTATAATAGGGTTTAGGGTTTAGGGTTTAGGGTTTAGGGTTTTGGGGTTAGGGCTTTGGGGTTAGGGCTTTGGGGTTAGGGTTTGGGGTTTGGGGTTTAGGGTTTACTGCTTCCTTGTTGGGGTCATATCCTTATTGGGAATGTAATAGGACAAAAATGTAAGTTTTTAACCAACAAGGACCCAGGTTAGGGTTCAGAGTGGAATGGGTTGTAGGGTTGTCCCTAAACCCTAAACCCTAACCCCTAACCCCTAAACCCTAAACCCTAAACCCTAAACCCTAAACCCTAGACCCTAGACCCTAGACCCTAGACCCTAGACCCTAAACCCTAAACCCTAAACTCTAAACATGTTTGGCTTATGGGATGCTACTCAGGGGACTCTACCTTGGACCCCTTGTTTGTGACCTTGGGTTGGGGGACATTTCTTAAAGATCCTTTCATGGAATAGAAGGACCAGAACAGGAGTATATTACAGGCTCGTCAGGGAACCCTTTTGGGGGGTACATCCTTAGGGACACAGGCTTGACTCCCTTGACATGGACCGAAAACCTAAACCCAAAACCTTTTCAGCCAGCAATGGACAGGCGTCCTCCCTCAGAAGCCGTGAGGGCCTGAAACCCGAGCAGTTTGTCCTGATTTCAAGGATGCAGACTTCAGCGGTTCATCAAGTCGGGATCGGGCACCGTATGGACAACTGCAGAGTAGCAAGAAATTTTGAAAACGACACCGCAATTGTGTGGGCCGTGACGAGACGAAAGAAGCTAAAGGAATCGTCTTCGTTTCTTGAATATTCCTGCGTTGAGCCCGCGGCAAACCGCTGCAGTGCTGCGCAGCGGGTGTCGCGGCCTGTGCGGCGTTGCTGCAAGGCCTGCCAACGGAGGACTGTTCAACCTTAACCCTATAAGCCCCTGAACCCTGAAACCCTAAACCCTAAACCAAAACCCTAAACCCAAAAAACCGAAAGCCGAGGCCAAAATTCTAACCCTGAAGCTTAATCATTATAAGGGTCGGAATATTAACTAGTAGTATTCAGTATTTCATTATGGTCCAGTAATAATTATACTATAACAACCCCTCAAACCCTATTCTAAGTATTCAGGCCCTAAACCCTAAAGTCTTTGCTGAGGGCTCGCTACCAACACTTGAGAGCCCGAAGCAGTCCGAGCTTCGCGAGCGACTTGAGAGCACTGAACGTGCAGCCCAGGTAAAGCTGGGGCTGCTGGACGCTCCAAGGCAAGGTAAGGCCCACACTGGCCGTCAAGGCGGTCGAGCCTTTGAGTGTTAAAGGTAAAGACCCTAAACCCAAGACCTTTTGCTGGTGCAACCTGGCCCCCCCCCAGGACCGTTGCTGGTGCAACCTGCCCCCCCCCTCCAAGGACCGTTGCTCGTGCAACCCGTTGCCGGGCTCAGACGCCCTCTGAGCCGTTTTCAAACCATTTCTTGGCTTGCTTCTCCCCGACCGTTTCGAGTCCCCAGACCATTTTTTGAGCTTTTTTTTGGATCCTTCTGAGCCTTCTCCCAAACCATTCCTGAGCCTTTTTTGGGCTTCTCCCAGACCATTTCTGCACGTTTTGGGCTTGCCCCAGACCATTCCTCAGCCTTTTTGGGCTTCACCCATTTCTGAGCGTTTTTGGTGCTCATTTGAGCTTCTCCCAGGCTATTTTCTGAGCCTTTTTATGCTTCTCCCAGGCCATTTTTGAACTTTTTGGGCTCTCCATTTCTTTTGTGTTCACAACAAAGCTTCTCCAAGCCCCCCAAGGGGGGGGACCCAGGATTGGCCTGGACCCACAATGAAAATGCGAATCTTTAGTACTGATCTCGATGGTTCTGGGAGGTTCCCGGAAGCCCTAGCCAGGAGCTTCGAAAGCTTTGACAGTCTCAAAAAGCTTCGAAAGCCCAAATTCTGGAGGGTCGTATCGGGACGCTGGCCCGGTCAGAGGGGCAGCGCTACCCCTTCGGAAGCCCAAACCAATCAGCCACCCCCACGAGCCTTTTCACAGCCTCGTCTTGGTCAAGTTGGTCCAGGGAGAGTCGCATCGGGACGCTGGTCGAGTGGCAGCGCTACCCCTTCGGTAACCCAAACTGCTTTGTGTCGATGGTTTCCGTGCTGGCAAACGAGGGTCGCAAACAAGGGATGCCAACAACCCTCAAAGAAGCACGTTGGGACGCTTGCCCGGTCGAGGGGCAACGGTGCCCCTACGGTAACCCAAACCAATCTGTGAGACACATGCCAGACGCCTTCCGTGAAGGCAGATGAGGGATGCCAAACGCCTTCAAACAAGCCCGTCCCGATTTTGATGATGAAGCGCTATCCCCCCGACCTTTCACAGCCTAGGGGCAGCGTTTTCCACAACTTCACCTCTTTGCAGCCCTGCCCCCGCGAGGCTCAGATCGGGACGGTGCAGAAACAGCGTGCGCAGAGACACAGCATGCCCCCGCTGGAAAAAGCAAAAACAAGACTTTAGGAACTAAACCCTAAAATAGATATGCCGGGTGGCTTGGGGTGGGCTTACCGCCACGCGATGTTGCGAGCGGACCGGGCAGAGGGGCCGGTTATAAAAAAAAAAATATGGTGAGGCCCCGGAGCCTAGCGAGCAACCCAGAACGTAACACACCCTGAACCCTAAACCCTAAACCCTAAACCCTAAACCCTTATTCTCATGACTTTGCATCCTCGGGGCTCAGAATCTTTGAGCGTCAAGAAGGAAATGAAGACACTTTTCGGTCGGCTCAGGTGAACCCGGAAACCCTAAACCCTTTAGGGTTTAGGGTTTAGGGTTTAGGGTTTAGGGTTTAGGGTTTAGGGTTTAGGGTTTTTTTGGGCTCAAGGTTTAGGGATTTAGGGTTTCGGGTTGAAGCTTGGGGTTCTGGGGTCCGCATTTGGCCTTCGGGCTCAAGGGCTTGAGGAGCAGCGGTATGACATCTGAGAATCCCTTGCCCCAACAACCAAATTTAGGGTTTAGGGTTTAGGGTTTAGGGTTTAGGGTTTAGGGTTTAGGGTTTAGGGTTTAGGGTTTAGGGTTTAGGGTTTAGGGTTTAGGGTTGTGCGTCTTCATTTGAGGACTCAAGAAACTGTGCTCGCAAAACGCTCCAGGGTATACAGCTTCAGGATAGGAAGAATTCAGCGTTCTTGAAGCCTGGACACGAAAATCTGTCCTGTACACCCGAATCCCTGAAAGCACGAGCACCCAGCCAGGGCAGCTTTTTGCACAGGGCTTCGAACTGTTGCAGCCCTGAACTATCACCCTAAACCCTAAACCCTAAACCCTAACCCTAATCCCGAATCGATGCAGGGCCCCTGTAAAGCTTTCAAACTAAAACCCCTGCCAGGCCCCTGAACCTGAAAACCCTAAACCAGAAGCCATAAACTGACCAAAACTGCCCAAAACTGCAAAACTGCAAACTGCAAAACCGCAAAACTGCAAAGCCAAAACCCCAAAACCCAAAACCCAAAACCCCAAAACCCCAAAACCCCAAAACCCCAAAACCCCAAAACCCCAAAACCCCAAAACCCCAAAACCCCAAAACCCCAAAACCCCAAACCCCCCAAAACCCCTAAACCCTTATATAAACCCCTCAACTGCACTAAATCCCTACACTCTGCATCTTCAAAGGTGCCTGGGCATCCGCCTTTCCTGCTTTGGCCAGGAGATGCCAGCCGCCCACCAAGATCCGCAAAGCTGCGGCCTACCAAGAGTTGGGAGGTTGATCTAGATTCTGAGGCCATTTTTGGTACCTTAGGGTTTAGAGTTTAGGGCTTAGGGTTTAGGGTGACTAGAAGGAATGTGTTTAGGCCGAGGTTTCGGGCTAATCGGCGTTGTAGGGTATAGGATCAGGGCCGGGCCGGGGGGGGGGGGGTGGTACCGGACTAACTACGTTTTTGCAGAAATGCCCATCCGAATCACCCCATAAACCCCTGACCCACGCACTGAAAACCCCAGAACCTCAAAGCCGGGAGCGGGCGTATACATGCTATATAACACCTGCTGTTAGAATATGTGCTGTATATGGGGGGGGTTTACAAAGATAGGGGACCCCTCAAATAGACCCCCAAAAAGGTAGGATTCCACCGCAATAAGGTACCCCTAATATCGTAAACCCCATACAGTAAAGCTGACAGTTATAGAGGTCGATGTACCTCTGACACCTCCGAATCGATATCATGATGGCAAGACCCTAAACCCTAAACCCTAAACCCTAAACCCTAAACCCTAAACCCTAAACCCTAAACCCCAAACCCCAAACCCTAAACACTACACCCAAGCTGCCTGGCCTGGTCCTTGAGGATCACATGCAAGGCTTTGGCGCAGACCTCCCCAACAAGCTCTTCTCAGAGAGGGATTTCGGTTTATGGTTTAGGGTTTAGGGCTTAGGGTTTGAGACCCTGGACCCTAAACCCTAAACCCTGAACCCTTTTAGGGTCGAACCCTACAGCCGCTGCAAACCAAGCCGCACCAGGTTTTGACAAGTCACCTTGGAATTAGGGTTTATAGGCACTTGGGCGTTTGCCGAACACCACTGTCCATCTCCGCGAAACATAATATAGGGGCCTGAATCATTAGAATAGGGTTTGGGGGGGGGGGGGGGGGGGTATTATAGTATGATTATACCAAGGGACCAGAAGGGAATACTACTAGAAATTAAACCTAAACCCTAAACCCTAAACCCTAAAACCTAAACCCTAAACCCTAAACCCAAAACCCTAGGGAAACCCTAAAAGAATCTGTGGCGGCCGGTCCTGATGGCGGTGCTTCTGCTTCTTGGCCACCTGGTGCCAGCGAGCCAGCACGAGGTGCAGCAAGCTGTCACTGAACTCCTGCGACGCACTTCAAGCGGTTTAGGGTTTAGGGTTTAGGGTTTGTAGGGGCCTTAATAGCTAGAACAGGGTTTGGGGGGTCTTTATAGTATAAGTATGAAGGAACCATAAGGGAACTTATAAGTTGAGATGTTGCGGGACCATGGAACAAACCAGGGTTGAAGGTTTAGGGGTCTAGGGTGTAGGGTTTAGGGGGCTTTAGGTTTTGGGTGTTCCCCCTTATACTATGGTACAAAATATTAGAATAGATATTAAGGACTGTTCGTACAAGGGGGAACATCCCAACTCATAAACCTGAATAGAATTATGGTAGCATAGGGTTGGGATTGTGAGCTATTCTTATATGACACCAATTTTAGGGTTCATTTGGTCCCAGAAAAGTCACAAGGATGCCAAGCTACGAGGTGTAGGGTTTATAGGGTTTATAGGGTTCAGGGGTCCGTGGGGGGGGGGATGTAAACCTGCTTGTAAGAAGCACCAAGTAACACTCATACAAGCACGAAATAGGGCGAAATTGCACCCTGCTTCCCAAAAAATGCCCGACTGTAGGGATCCTCATGAGCTCAAGCCTCTACATCCTAAAGCCCCAAAACCTGAACCCTTACAGGCAACATAAAACGAAGCCCTCTCGGGTGTGTCACTTGCCTTGGTCCGCGCTGAAGCCCGCGTCCCGGCTTCGCCTACGCGGAGGCTTGTTGAAGGCATGGAGCACTAAACCAAGGGCCCCCCCCCCCCCCCCGATGACCATCTAAACCCAAAACCCCAAAACCCCTAAACCCTACTATTTGCGTAAGAGCCAGCGCAAATAGTTCTTCCTTGCAAGGGCAAGATGGGGGGGGGGGCTCTTAAGCAAATAGTAGCCAGGGCCCTTTTTTGCGCCAGACAGGGTTTGCAGGGCTTTTGAGGGCTGCGCAAGGTTGCGCAGTCCGAGAGCCCTAGACTTTCAAGCTGCAGCCTACTGTACCTCAGATGCAGGATTTTAGGGCATCATGTTGGGGCAGTGGATCGGCATTCTAGGTCGAATGATCCAGGGAACGCAGGGGACTGCACTGCACTCGAGAAACCTTAAGCTGAAGAAACTTAAACCCTAAACCCTAAACCCTAAACCCTAAACCCTAAACCCTAAACCCTAAACAGCAAAACCCCAAAAACCCTGAACCTTAGACCGGAAACCAAGAGACCCCCTAGCACAAATCCTCAACCCACCCCGACACTTAACCTTACATGCCCCCGACCCAAAGAGCCCAAGATTGCTTAATTAAGGAATATTCCTTAAATCATATAGGGATCCTTAATATGATTTTAGGGTATATTCCTTAATTAAGCAATATTGGGCTCTTTGGGGAACGCTTTTTAACCCGAAGCCTTCAAGCTTAAAGCAACCCTGTAAACCCTACAAGCCCTATAATCCCCATAAACCTTCCAAACACTCTAAACCCTCTGATGTTCCACTCTCTTGAGTAGGGGCCTCCGCCATAATGTCAAATTCGCCGGGCTATTCACCGTGCGACCGTTTAGGGGTGCTCGGTGGGTTCAGGGTTTAGGGTTTAGCCTTAGCTATCAAGCCAAGTCTGCCGGGCCCCTTTTCAAGTTCATACTCATCCATGTTGAAATTAGAGAAGAATCCCAGGACCGTCTAAAGACGGCCCAAATTCAGCTTCGACTGTTCAGGAGGGGGAAACAGACTAAAGAGGGTGGAACAATCAACCCTCCCCTCTAAACCCTAAACCCTAAACCCTAAACCCTGAACCCTAAACCCTAAACCCTGAACCCTGAACCCTGAACCCTAAACCCTAAACCCTAAACCCTAAACCCTAAACCCTAAACCCTGAACCCTAAACCCTAAACCCTAAACCCTAAACCCACCTGTGCGCTGCGCGCGGCGGCGCCAGCCCGACAGGGCCAAGCGGACTGTGTCCGTCTGCCCGTGGCAGAGGCCTTGGACTGCAAACTTGCAGGGTTTAGGGTTTAGGGCTTAGGGGTTTAGGGTTTAGGGCTTAGGGGTTTAGGGTTTAGGGTTTAGGGTTTAGGGTTTAGGGTTTAGGGTTTAGGGCATTCGGTCTGCATTGACCAAGGGTAGGTGTATCAAGTAGGAACCATTGAGCCTTTGAAAAACATCCTAAAAACACCCAAAACCCCTACAACCCTACGAACCCGAAAACCCCAAAAAAACACCCTAACACCACGCTAAAACACCGCAAAAACGTAAAACCTCAAAACCCTAAAGCCCTAAAAACCAGAAACACTCACCCTAAACCCTAAACCCTAAACCCCAAACCCAACAACCCCCCTAAAACCCACAAATTCTCGAAAAAGACCTGAGCTGCGGCCCAGCAGCTGAGTGCCACGGTCCGCGTGGCACCCGCCAGGCGCTTGCGCGTGCGTTGCAGGTCCTCCTCCGCGGGGTTTAGGGTTTAGGGTTCAGGGTTCAGGGTTCACGGTTTCGGGAGAGCTTCGAGTATTTCAGGGTTTCGGGTTTAGGGTTTAGAGGTTCAGGCTTGAGAGCTTGAGGTCTTTAGGGCGTTAGGGTTTTACGAGGTAGGGCTTAAAGTTGCTGAGGACTTCCAGCTTCCGGCAGAGGTAGGCTTCTTGTACTTCAAGTTGCTATGTGCCCGTGCGCAGGCTAGGGTTTGGGGCTCAGAGTTAGGTTGGGATGATGGAAAAGACTGTGCCCAGAGACTCCAAAGCGACGATCGAGAAATGAGCGCTTATCGGGGCAGAAAGACCAAGATTGGTTGCGGCTCAGATTGGGTCAGAAAATGCCACCAAGACCCGGCAGTACGATTTTGTTACCCTGGCAAAGCCACCCCCGCCCCCCTCCCCCCCCCAGAACTGCATGCTACCCCGGGGCATTCCCTAGACCCTTCCTGCCCAATGAACCGACCGCCTAGTCCCTGAACCTAAACCCTAACCCTAAACCCTAAACCCTAAACCCTAAACCCTAAACCCTAAACCCTAGACTGATAGGATGCCCCAACACTAAACCCGAAACCCTGAAACCCTAACATCGTCACGCCTTTGAGCGCTCTCAGCTGACATTTCCTTGCAGGGAAGAGGCTCCGCGCCTGCTGGGACATCAAGGTGCCCAGGACTTGGGACAACTCTTCCTGGACAGCGGAAGACTTCGCATGATCTAGGGTTTAGGGTTTAGGGTCTAGGGTGCTCAGCTCTCTAACCCTGCCTCATGTGCGTTTATGCTTTTCTGCACTTGGAGGCTTAGGGTTTAGGGTTTAGGGTTGAGGTTTAAAGGTTTCGGTTTTTATGGAGTTAGGGTTGTTAGGTTCAGTGGTTGTAGGGCTTTCACAAAGCAGTCCTGCACGGAGTGGTGCTGCAGGTCGTGTCGCATTGCTTGGCTCATGGCCTCCCGGTGCCCCTAAACCCTGTACCCTAAACCCTGCAAACCCTGTAAACCCTACAAACCCTGTAAACCCTAAACCCTGTAAACCCGATAGGCCCTCTGAACCCGAACACCCTATTAACCCCATTAGACTGTACAAAGCCTATCAACCTCATGATAAAACCCTGTAACCTTTCAACCCTAAAACCCTATAAACCCCAAACTAAAACCTCTCGGATCTGACACACACGCACACAAAAGAAAAACACACACACACAGCAGTTCAGGGCTGAGGGCCCCTCCCCCCCCCCCACCCCCCCCCCACCCGCCGCTGCCACGAGGCCAAAGCATTCTCATCTTTTGCATATTCTTTGCCGCATTCGATGGAAGGGTGTTGGGCTTAGAGGGTTTATAGGGTTTATAGGGCTTGGAGGGTTTATAGGGCACCTTAAGCATCTCTGCACCTGCTTTAGCTAAGTCTGACTCATCTACATCATGAGGCGTTTGCAGGAACCTCAACTATAATTGGGCTACTTACATCTTCGCCGGTCTCTGGCTACTACTAGTGGCATTCATGACTTGGGCACGCTCAGCATTCTGCTAGGTTCACCGGTAGTTCAGGCTCATTTTCCTTGAGCTGCTAAGCTACGCGCTCTCGCGTCTAAGTGGAGGTCTCTGATCGACAAGACATGGCACACCCTTTGTGTGCATTGCTGAACCAGTATTGAGCAACTCTATTGCCTGAAGCATTCGCTATTGACACTTGAGTCTCTTGTGCTGCCCTAGAAACAATGCAAGGTTCCAGCAACGGCTGCCGAAAGCTTCGGGAACTTGCAGCCAGTGGGGAGGCTGCTTTCGTGCATCACGCTATCAGCAAAGTGAGAGCCCGCCTTTACGGGAGCCTCTGCGTTCATTGACACAAGCATCGCCCTGCCGGGGGCCACGCATCTGCACCAGCAAGTCAAAAAAATCCCAGAGGACACTCTACAACGAGAAAGAAACAAAAACAGCCCCCTAAACCCTAAACCCTACACCCTAAACCCTAAACCCTAAACCCCTAAACCCTAAACCCATAGTAAGTAAGAAAACGTGAGCTCGAATCCCTACAGGCCGCTCAGCCAGGTAAAGACTTCCTCGCCGCAGGCTGGAACTGCCGGGTCCTGCGGCTACGAGTTCTTGGTAATGGTTTAGGGTTTAGGGTTTAGGGTTTAGGGTTTAGGGTTTCAGGGTTTCAGGGTTTCAGGGTTTCAGGGTTTCAGGGTTTCAGGGTTTCAGGGTTTCAGGGTTTCAGGGTTTCAGGGTTTCAGGGTTTCAGGGTTTCAGGGTTTCAGGGTTTCAGGGTTTCAGGGTTTTGGGTTTCAGGGTTTTGGGTTTAGGATGTACCCTATATGGCCCTTGTTAGGGCATGAAATGGAAGCAGCCGAATTCCCTACTGCAATTACCTACTGAGAGCTGGTAAGGGTGGGGGCCTGTGGGGCACATACGAAATGTGGTGCAACAACGCCTGGACTACTAAATATGGGCAAAACATGCGGGCACCTTCTTTGTCGTTTAGCTGGAACGGCCTAATTTATGAGGAAACATGCTGGAAGTAAAGCGGTTTTAGGGTTTGGGTTTAGGGTTTAGGGTTTAGGCTGGAGGGTATGCTCAAGGGGTTTAGTGATTAGGCTTTGGGGTTTAGGGTTTCCTACATCTCCTCCGCACAAGAACCCTCAGAGCCTTAAGCCTCTTACCAGTTATTCGTAATAGCGAAGTCGGGAGTTGGGCAACGCATGTACTACACAGCCCTGCGAAAGTGCCACGTATAGGGAAATTAAGGTACCTGATCCCCGAATTCCCTACTCAGAACTCTTGGAAGCAAAACCCAGAAGCTGCACTCAAACCTAAGCTCCAAAGAACCCGAATAAACCCTAAACCCGTCACCCTAAATCCTAAATAAGCCCTGAACCCTAAACCCTAAAACAACTTAAACCCTAAACCCTAAACCCTAAACCCTAAACCCTAAACACTAAACCCTAAACCCTAAACCCTAAACCCTAAACCCTAAACCCTAAACCCTAAACCCTAAACCCTAAACCCTAGCCCTAAACCCTAAACCCCAAACTCTTGGAGCAGACCACGCTCGACCCAGAAACCCCTGTGCGGCTCCCAACTGTAGGCCCAGAAGGCGACACGGTCAGCACAGTGTCCCTGACCTCAGATCAACATATCTCCTTTGGTCCTCTAGTAACGTTTAGGGTTTAGGGTTTAGGGTTCAGGGTTCAGGGTTCAGGGTTCAGGGTTTAGGGTTTGGGGCACCAGCTGCTAGACACCCGTTTGAGAAGCACCAGACCCTTGTGTTTTTGCGGGATTGGTTAGGCCGTCCTTGCCGTCCCCAAACTGCCAGAACTTTTTCAGTCAAACCCTAAACCCTAAACCCTAAATAAACTCTAAACCCTAAACCCTAAACCTAAACCATCTAGGAGGATCTCGAACCTTTGGTCCCCAAAAGGGGCCCAATCGCTTAAAGAATGCCCCCCAATGGGGGTTTACGATATTGGGGGGTACCTTTTTGGGGTCCGTATCAGAAGGGGATCCTACTGTTTGGGAGCTTCTTTAGGGGTCCCTAACTTTCGTAAACCACCCAAAACCCTAAACCCTAAACCCTAAACCCTCAACCCTCAACCCTAAACCCAAATTATAAAATTCAGCCCTGAATGAAACTCGTTGCAGCCGAGCCTGCCGCTCCAAGTGTCCTCGTAGCAGGTGAGACGAATCTCCGCGCGCGAATACCACCTCCTTCGTCTTAGTGAAGTTACATGGTCTCTTGGTATAGGCCTTGGGGTTTAGGGTTTAGGGTGTGTATATCCTTTATATACTCTATACTTGGCGAAAGGACGCTTTGGGTTTTGGCAAAAAAATTGGCCCTGAATAGCAAAATCGTCCAAACCTGAAGCCATGAGATCACTTGCGTTTACCACCTCGTTGGAACTCCAGCATCATGAACTTCTCGTTGAATTTGGAGTTTAGGGTTTAGGGTATAGGGCTAACCCTAAACCCTAAACCCTAAACCCTAAACCCTAAACCCTAAACCCTAAACCCTAAACCTTTGGAGTTTAGGGTTTAGGGTATGGGGCTTCCTTCTTCTCCGTCGCCCTGGTTGCTGAATGAGCTCTCACGGCCCAAGCACGAAATCTTGAGGGGCCATCATCATGCACGGAAATCCCCAAGTGCGGAGCAACAGCCAGCAATATCTCGTATGACCACCCGACTCCTCAACTCCTGCGCCAGGCCTTGATCAGCAGGAGCCCTCATTAGGGTTCAGGGTTAGGGTTTAGGGTTTAGTGTTCAGGGTTTAGGGTTTAGGGTTTAGGATTCCAAGGCTCAGTTTCCGCACCAGCACCTCGATCTCCTCGAAGGGACACACCTGGGAACCGGAACCGCTGCCCGAAACGCTCAAGTGCAGGGTTTAGGGTTTAGGGTTTAGGGTGTATAGGGTTTAGGGTTTACGGTTTCGGGTTTAGGGTTTCAGGGTTTCAGGGATTCAGGGATTCAGGGTTTAAGGTCCGCTATAGCCCACTGACACGAACAATAGTACATACCTTGTATCGTCCCTAAATGCCTGTACATTGCCGTGGTGTGTGTGTGTGTGTGATCTTCGGTTTGGGTTTTTTGGGGTTCAGAGTTGGAAGGTTTTGTTGGTTTTTCCTGGGGCTAATATGGATCTTCAGAGTTTCTTTGAAAGTGGTTGAGGGTTTAGGGTTTCAGGCTTTCTAGGTATCGGGACTCTAAGATCCAGAAAGACACCCGACAAGATCAGGTAAACCCTAAACCCTAAACCCTAAACCCTAAAACCTAAACTCTTGTACAGTTAGTTGCTCCAAGGCACATTGTCATTCTCGGCGTGGATGAACCACATCGGCAGCTCTTGCTCAGCCAGCCTTACAGGGAATCGCCGAAGACTGGGGCCCAAAAATCCCAAGCCCTAAAGGGTTTAGGGTTTAGGGTTTGGGGTTTAGGGTTTAGGGTTACCCTGAACCATTGTTTGCGCCCACACACTCAATAAGCCTAGCCCTCGAAAGTACTCTAAGCCCCTGAAACCCCAAACGTAAGGTCCGTGAGTGGTTCTTCATTCCTCCAATGCCCTAGAACCTTTAGGGTTTAGGGGAAGTCTGGGTAGCAGGGTTTAGATTGAGTCTGAGGGTTGAGGAATTCGAGTTCAAGTTCCGCTGTTTAGGAATTGATGACTTGATGCAGGACCAATGGTCCCATGCAATTAGAGCTTTAGGGAACCCCGTCAAATTGCACCATGCACCGCCCCTGAACCCTGAACCCTAAACCCTCAACCTAAAGCTAAGCCCGAATGGTACTGTCCGCTGAATTCTACACATGGAACCCTGAACCCTAAACCCCATGATGAGCCCTCTCAAGCGCCCTTAGAAAGGCCTAAAGCCTAAACCCCGAACCCCAAACCCCACACCCCAAACCCCAAACCCTAAACCCTACACCCCAAACCCTAACCTCGCATTTTTTAGCCCCTTAGAAAGGCCAAGGCCCTGACTTCAGCACCAAGGGCCCCATGGGCTCCAGGTCGTAGTGTGCTGCCACGAGCACAGCCGCCCTGAAGAGATACCTCCGCCCCGGTGGGGTTCGGGTTTGGGTTTAGGGTTTAGGGTTTGGGGTTTAGGGTTTAGGGTTTAGGGTTTAGGGTTTGGGGTTTAGGGTTTAGGGTGTAGGGTTTTCGGGTTTGGGGGTCTCAGGCCTCCCCCCGCCCCCAACCAGGGCCTGAAGACTAGAGATAAATACTACGAAAACAAAAAACATGTAAAAAACCCTCAAAATCCCCTGTTTTTGTTCGGAAAGCTGGGCCCCCACAGTGTCCCCTTACATATGTACGTCTTATATGTATATGGTATACATACATATATATATATGTATAAGCATTTTATATATGTACCAATTCACAAAACTAAGCAACAAACTAACTATATTTACTTGAATGAAGTACAGTAATTATCAAGCCCCAAACGTAGCCCTAAACGACCTAAACATCCCGAGAAACCCACGCCTCAGAGCCCCCACTCCGAAAGTTGCAATTCTTTAGGACAGAATTACAGGGTTTCTGGTTTAGGGCTTAGGACCGTAAAGTCGGGAGGTCTCAGAATCCTAAATCGGGATTTTCCCACAATATACTAACAATCCTTAACAGGAATTCTGATAGGGGGCACTATAAGCATATATTAAGGACTGTTAGTATAAGGGGAAACATCCCAAATCGTAAGCCCGAAACCCTCAGCGCCCTGGTCTCTGGTCCTGGTCACTCGAGCTCCCCACGCCCTAACCCCAAAATCCTCCTGAGAGCTCAAAGAAAGAAACCTGAAACAGAACGCAAACTGAAAACACCGCAGAAACCTCTGTGAACCGTATACAAAACCCCAAACCCTAAACCCTAACCCTAAACCCTAAACCCTAAACCCTAAACCCTGAATGGCCCACTCAAAAGCAAAACGACAGATCCTTCGGAGGCAGGTGGCGGGTTCCGCGCCGTCAACTCCAGAGACGCGTAGGCACCTGGGAGCTGGGTTTAGGGTTTGGGGTTTGGGGTTTAGGGTTTAGGATTTAGGGTTTAGGGTTTAGGGTTAGGATTTAGGGTTTAGGGTGTAGGGTTTAGGGTTTAGGGTTTAGGGTTTAGGGTTTAGGGTTTAGGGCTGTGGGAAACCCTCAAATCGTACACCCGGCTTGAGGATTGAAGTCTTGGTGTGTTGGATCCTGGGATGAGGATTTCGGGTCGGCATTCAGCGGAGGGCCACGCTAGGGTAATCTTGGCTACCTAGTGCGTTTTAGGTCAATGTGGGGCATGAGGTTTAAATCCTATCCCCTAGGCCCTCAACCCACAGCCCCAAAGTTAGAAACCCTATAAACCCTCAACCCCAAACCCGGCACCCCTAAAAACCTTACATGTTAACCCACTCCAATTTCCATCGCACTAAACCATAAACCCTAAACCCCAAACCCTAAACCCTAAACCCTAAATGTCAGCGTTGGCACCCATGGAGGAGCCGATGAGGCTCACCCTGGCAGGATCCACCCGGTAGTTGTCCTGGGCTACCGGGAGCTCAGGGTTTAGGGTTTAGGGTTTAGGGTTTGGGGTTTGGGGTTTGGGGTTTAGGGTTTAGGGCTACCGGGAGCTCAGGGTTTAGGGTTTGGGGTTTAGGATTTGGGGTTCAGCGGCTCCGGATCGAGCATGTTCACTCGGACGTCAGAACATAGACTTAGACAAAACCCACCCGCCCAAAGAAGCCCATAACATTAATAAAATACAGGGTCTTCATGAACCATTTCTGTTTCAGTTGCTCACCATTCCTTGACCCCCCACCCCCCAGCCGGAAAGATGGCTCCCTTACTTACATTTGTCCCGGAGGGTCCGGATGGCTAAGAACATTGATCCCAAAGGGTGGCAAAGAGCATTGGTCACGAGAGGGTCCGGGTGGCTAAGAGCATTGGTCCCGGAGGGTCCCGGTGGCTAAGAACATTGGTCCCCCCGGTAGTTGTCCTGGGCTACCGGGAGCTCAAGGTTTAGGGTGAAGGGTTTGGGGTTTAGAGTTTAGGGTTTGGTGTTTGGGGTTCAGGGTTTTAGGTTTACCGGCGATAAGTGGGGTTTGTTTCATGGCTTAGAGCTTAGGGCTTCGGGTTTGGAGCTCAACCTGCCTACTCTTCGCCTCAAAAACTGAATCCTTAGCCCCAATTTCGCGGCAGAGGTGCGCCAATCTCGAATGGCAAGTCTTGGGGCATGGGTCTGTGGCTCAAAATTTGGTTTAGGGTTTAGGGTTTGGGGTTTGGGGTTTGGGGTTTAGGGTTTAGGGGGCTGCAGGCCTGGGGTGTTCTGAATCTTCGCGTGTTTTGTTCAGGGTCCCGCGCTCCGTGCCTCAACCCTAAACCATGCAAACCCTACTAACCCTACTAGCCGTAGTAACCCTACTGACCCTACCCTGCCTGAACCCTACTAAGCCTGAAAACTCTACAGCCAAATCCCCAGTGCAGCCAAGGATCTCGAACTAAGGCTGTCAGCTCCACTAGCGCCACCTCGACCTGCAGCTTTGGAACGTCAATTTAGGGGCTCCCCTACCCTAAACCCTAAACCCTAAACCCTAAACCCTAAACCCTAAACCCTAAACCCTAAACCCTAAACCCTAAACCCTAAACCCTAAACCCTAAACCCACCCTAAACCTTAAAGGGGTTTAGGGGTTTAGGGGTTTAGGGGTTTAGGGTTTAGGGGCCCAGGGTAGATCAGCCCCAAGTGTCACAGGTTTACAGGGCTTGGGGTTCGGGTTTGGGATTTAGGGTTTAGGGGTTTAGGGTTTAGGGTTTAGGGTTTAGGGTTTAGGGTTTAGGGTTTAGGGTTTAGGGTTTAGGGGTTAGGTTCATCTTCGTGCCTTGCAAGAATCTCTTTCCAGTCAGAACAGGTAAGTGCACTCTTGGACCTGTCCTGTTCAAATACAACCACAACTATATTCCTTAGTGGCTTTCAGAGTCGAACGGCTGTAGGGTTCGGGGTTGGGTTGTTCCCGGCTTCTGGAATCAAGTTACGTGACTATGACGGTCGTACCCTCTTGTTAAAAGCCGTGTTAAAGACTGCTGATAACAAGGGTGGGGGGGGGAACATGCTAAGTTAAGTTTTCGCTTTGTAAAGTAAACCTCACCCTCCAAGTTGCAAGCAGATGAGGTTTGGCTTGCTAGGATCCTTCTCGTGTGATCCTTTTGCATCGCAGCCCCACCTGCTCATCGTATTGGGAGTTTTCGTACCAGCCGCGTCGCAGCCACACGCCAGCTGCGTCGCCTGCGAAGGCGATGCATGTGTACAGAAAGTAGCTAAGAACTTGGAGGTTCATCGGTAGATACAAGTAGGGTTATAGCAGTACCCTAAGTGGGGTTAGAAGTAGAATTTACCATACCTATCACCCGACTTATAGCTACCCATGAACCTCCAAATAGCTGCAACAAGAAAGTCCACGGAAATGTGGCTGCAGCATGCAATGGCAGGATGAATCACGCCATCAAGTCATCCCTTCCCGCCTCACTCCACCCCTAAAAAAGAAAGTAGGTACGTTGGGACCCTGGCAATAAAATGAATTTTCTTGTCAACCACGCGTGATGACCCAACCCAGGACCTAAATGCAGGAGCTTCTGCGTGATGCGTGTTGAGGGCTTCGGGCCGTGTAGGGCACTGTAGGGCTCATTGTGATGTGCACAGGAAGCCATGGTCCCTTCGGAGGCGGGTAAAGAGATCAGTGAGGAGTTTGGAGGAGAAGCCGGTTCGGGGAGTTATCCCTATTCGGAAGTTCATGGGTCGTTTTGAAGCAGGCTGAAAAGTATGGTATCAAAACGGACAACCCCGGGCCCCCATTCAGGGTACTTATAACCCTACGTATAACTACCGATGAACCTCCAAGTAGATCAAGAGCCCAATAGGGCGCCTTTTAAGAACCCCCCCCCCCCCCCCCCCCCCCCCCGCCCGAAAATGTGGCGGAGTCAGTTCTGTGTTCACAGCGATGGTTGGCACGGTGATCGAGTAGCACCTGCACGAGGAGGTCATTGCCAGCCCGATGTGCAATCCACAGGGGCGCGCCAATATCCGAGTCTGCTCCAGCCTGTAGTAGCGTTGCAACGACGGGCTCGCTCCCTCCAACACAAGCAGCACAAGAGGGGTGATGGGCCCCGTTCGTCAGGTCCTTGTCGGCTCCCACGTTCAAGAGAAAGACCACGACGTCCATATCGCCCACCACTTTGCTCCTGGGAAGTGCTGGAATCATCTGCAAAGGGCACTAAGACTATCTGTATGTCCATGGGTACCTCATCATCGTCCAAGGGTTCGCCGTCGTGAAGAAGCTCTGCAGCATAGACCTGGGCCAGCCGCAGATTTTTTTGCAAGTGTTGCTTCAGTGCGCCAAGATCCGCCATCTCCTCCAACTCTTGCGAAGGCATGGCAACCAACTCTTCACCCGACACCCGCCAAACACGAAGCATCTCGGCCATGCTTGAGGCAGATGTTTTGCGTTTGTCCTCGAACCCCCGAGAGCTGCTAGCGTGAGCAGGTTCACGTGATCTAGCATGCAGTGTGCCCGCTCTGTGCAAAACGCAGAGAGAGCAGGCGCGTGAAAGTTTACTCCTTGTGGCATCCGAATCTGCCCAAATCAGGGAACTAAGCCCTCCACGCCAAATTCTCCAGAACATACAACTCAGCAATAAACCTTTGAATGCTACACCCTGCAAAACCGGAGCTTAAACCCCAAGACCCAAAACCTAAACCCCAAAACCTCAGACCAGTCACCCCTGAAAATCCTTAAGCCCTCAACCCGGAGATCAAATCCCTCAAGGCCCGAATAATACTGAGAGCTATTGTTCACTCTATCATAATAGTAACCCTCAAACCTATAAACCATAGCCCCTCAACCCTCAACCCAATCATAAGGTTTGTAGGAATTTTTGTTAAACTTAACATAATAGTAAATAGGAACCCTCAACCTTACACCCTCAACACTAAACCCTAAACCCAATCATGAGGACTGTAGCTACTAACAATACTACGAACTACTGTTCACACTATCATCATAGTACGCAGTACATAGTAACCCCTTAACCCTATAAACCCTAAACCCTAAACCCTAAAACCTCAACCCTAAACCCAAGGACCGTAGCTTTGCTTTGTCATGACTCTCGGCCTCTCTCCGCATCGAGGGGGCACTGGGGTGCCAGTAAGATGCACCTTGACTACTATTTGCTTAAGAACCCCAAAAGAAAAGAACATAGTAATCCCTTTCTTACCCTTAATAAGGAAGAATGTTTTTGTGTTTTTTCGGGGCTCTTAAGCAACTAGTAGTTGAGGGTTGCCAGGTCTTGGGTCTTTTAAGGGATTAGGGGTTTTAGGGTTTAGGGTTTAGGGCTTCAGGGTCTTAGTTTAGGGCTGCAAGGTTTGGGGTTCTAGGGTTTTAGGGTTGCGAGGTTTGGGCTTTCGGGTATATTTGGATGACAGACGATGCGCCCCATGGCTAGGCCTTGCTACGTAGGAAGGAGACGTCAACAAAGGCATTCTATGAAGCCACCGGAAGCTGCAAAGAATCCTCGTTGAAATGCTGCTCCAGCACAGCCTGTGTCGACTTCTGCAAGCTGTGTTTCTGAGATCGCACAAAACCTTCTCTCTCTCTCACACACATATTATATATATATATATATACAAAATATATATGTATATATATATATGTATATATATATATATATATATATATCCGCCGACCCCAGCGGTAGCAGGGCGGCGTCAGTGAAGACCCCCCACCGCCCTCACCGCCCTCACCCGCTCTCACAGCATGCTGCTCATGACACCTTGAATTGGAGTGTTTTTGCATTGTTTGGCTTCAGTGCATGCCCAAACCCCACCACCCATCGCCCTCACCCATGACGCCTTGAATTGGACCTTTGACCCCCCCCCACCCCATCCATTCAGGTGGTTTAAAGGGTCCAGTGCATGCCCGACCACCCCCTGACCAATCTCTAGTGTTTTAAGCATTCCAGTCCATGCCCGCCCTGACCGCCCTCTCTCACCGCTCTCATCACTCCCCCTCCCTATGCCCCCCACTCCACCCCTCCCTGACACCCTTTGCCCTCAACCCCCCACCCACCTCGACTCTGAAACCCCACCCTAGGGCCCTACAAATCTCTAGTTTGAAGGATTCCAATCCACGCCCGCCCTAACCGCCTCCCCGCTCTCATCACTCCCACCAGAGCTGGTCAAATGAGTCAGGCCCCCCTTTCCGCCAGCCGCCCCCACCCTCTCCCACTCCCACTCCCTAACCCTCCCACCAACCCTCCCCAGCCCTCATCATTACCCCCTCCCACCATCGTGCACCATCCGACCGCCCCCCCGCTCTCACCGCTCTCATCGCTTCTTCATCTCTATGCCCCCCAGTCCACCCCTGCCTTCCGCCCCCAACTCCCTAATCCGACACCAACCCTCTACCGTCACCCCCCACACCCCCCACCCCCGCCGCCCCCCTTTCCACCCCCACCCACCCCCACCCCCCCCGCCCCCGCCCCCCCCGCCTGCCCGCGCTCCACCCTGCCTTCCGCCCCAATGCGACTGTCTTGGGTCTGGGGTCGGCGGCACTGGCGGTAGCCATTAAATCGGGCAGCGCGAGGTCCCCAAAGGACCGAGCAAATGCGGACCTTTTAGCCCGGGTCGTCCCGGGAATAGCCTTGCTGGCCTCTGGCCTTCTGCGAAGCAGAATTAGGCCGGACGCCAGTGCCGCCGACCCCCGCGTGCCGCCGGCGAACGGTTTTTTTTCGTGGTTTTTTGCGTCGCCACGGAGGCCCCCAGAGGGCGCGCATCATGAGCATCAGCGGGTCCAGCCCGGCGCGCATCAGGAGCATCAGCGGCTCCCGGGGCGGGACCCCGGGGGCGCATCAGGAGCATGATGCCCCCCAAAGGGCGGGCATAAGCGATGTGTCTAAGCCCGGGGCTAGGAAAAGGGGAGTTTAGGGGCCTTATAAAGTGCTTAGAAACTTTAAGGGAGTCTAGGAGCCTCAAACGCTCAGAGATTTGAAGGGAGTTTAGGGGCCTGAAAATGCTTGGAAACTTTGAGGGGGTTGCTGTCAGTCTTGCCCATGAATCCGCCCTTGAGACCCTAGCACATTGACCCTACATCTCTTGACTCTGGAATAACCTTTAGGACGTAGTATCCGTACCATCGCTCCTAGAAAGCCCATGGAATAACCGCTCCACAGGAACCACCATGAACCTCTGGACCAAGTACTAGAAGATAGGTACCCGCCCGTGAAGACCAAGAGAGCGTAAGGTGTGCGTGCGAAAAAGCCCAAATAATAAGTCCTTTTTGGGGGCTTTTTCGTCTATTCACGCGTAACACCTGGTTATTATTATTGTATCCACGGGCCAACAATTATACGCCCGTGTTTACTGTTCCCTTTATCGCGCACATAATATTAATGCAAGTTAACGCGCGATTAATATTAATATTGTGCGCGACAAAGGGCCCCATTATAATATTACTAATGGGGCGTGCATTCTTTACCCCATTAGTACTATTATTATGGGGGCTCCTCAAACGCTTAGAGATTTTAAGGGAGTTTAGGGGCCTCAAAATGCTTAGGAACTGCTCGCCCCGCGCTTCTGCCTGCGCTGCCCGCCCATGGGCGCAGCCCCTTAAAAAATATATATATATATATATTATTACCTTTTTTATATACCTTCCCAATGTTCCAAAACGCCCTCAAGAAGAAGCGCCCTGAAGCCGGGCCACTTCTCTTTGAGGGTTGCCGGACAGCGATCATCGCCTGCAGGTAGCTTCTCTGCGCCAGGCGTCAGAGCTTGGGCCAAGAGGACTTTGTTACTTTGGGGCGCAATTCAGGGTTTAGGGTTTAGGGGTTTGGGGCGCAATTCTACCGAAGCCCGAAACGCTAAAACCTTGACGAGTCTTGCAAGGCTTCCATCTCGAGCCGCCCCGAACTAAACAACGAACACGCGGCTCATACCTTACTAGCTCTTAGATGAGGGTTGGGGGATAATGAGTAGTAAGTTTCTGGGGTATCATTTTTAGAAAAACGGTAGGATGCTCTCATGCCAGGGGCCTTGTAGAAGCCGAAGCGCCGTGTCTGATTCGAAAAACCTGATCGGCAGCCCATGTGCCAGGCTTGGTTTGACGGTTTAGGGTTTAGGGTTTAGGGTTTAGGGTTTAGGGTTTAGGGTTTAGGGTTTAGGGTTTAGGGTGGCACGCTTTGGTGAGGGCCATTGTGGAGACTGCAGCTGAAAGTAACGGGAGACTTAGTCAGCACAGCTATCCGTGAAGCCTAAACCCTGTCGAAAATCACAAGCCGATAGTGTGACGCACCCTCAAACCCCAAAACCTGAAACCCTAAACCCTGAACCCCTAAACCCCCTAAACCCCCTTAATCCCCTTAAACCCCTTAGTCCCCTTAAGCCCCTTAATCCCGAAACCCTAAACCCCTAAACCCGAAACCCTCACACGCTCCGCCAAGGTGCAGGTTGTTGTCGCCCTCGAGCTTGCCCTTTTTCGGGCCGCGGGGACTCTCTTCAGGTTTGGGTCTTGAGGTTTTATTGGGGGGGGGGGGGGTTGTGGTGGGTGGGGGGTTGGGGGGGGGGGTTGGTGGGGGGTTGGGGGGGGTGGTTGGCACCGGCGTGCGAAGACCCCAAAACCCAAAACCCCCAACCCTAAACTAAACCCTACAGCGGCCCCCTAAATCCCATGAACACCCCAAACCCTGAACCCTAACCCCTTCACCCCAAACACAAAAAAAAGATAAACCCGACAAAACCCTAAACCCTTAAGAGCTTCTTCATAGGTTTCCGGCCGCGGCGCGTGCATGGAGTGCAGGAACACCACGAGCGGCCACCTGGTTCAGGGTTCAGGGCTTATACGTTTAAGACATCTTGGATCCGAGCTTGGAAATGTTTAGGGTTTAGGGTTTAGGGTTTAGGGGTGAGGGTTTAGAGTTAAGGGTTGAGGGTTTAGGGTGTATGATTCAGGAACACCCTTAAAGCCATAAACCGTACACAGCGGGGAGAACTCAATCCACCGGGTGGCCCCTCCACTTCGCTGTAGAAGTCCGGGTGATGCTCGTATTCCGTCGGTAGATACCTTCGGCGTACCATGTGGCGGGCGAACTAACTCCAAAATAAGGGAACCCAAAAGGTTTAAACTCCAAAATAAGGGAACCCAAAAGGTTTAAACTCAGATTTTAAAGTTCTTTAATTGGCTAAGTAAGAACTAGAATGGATCTTCTGGGAAATGTATTTTGCGATTGCATCTGGATGATAAGGGGACAGTATCATGCATGGCTCCTGTACGTTTACTCGTTTATGAAACCGCAAACCCTAAACCCCAAACCCTTGAACCCTAAACCCGGAAACCCCCGTATGGCAGCTGAAGCCCTACAATGCGAACCTAAGAGATACCCTAAACCCTAAACCCTAAACCCAAACCCTAAACCCTAAACCCTAAACCCCAAACCCTAAACCCTAAACCCCAAACCCTTGAACCCCAAACCCTAAACCCTAAACTTCCGGACCCGGGCTTCCAAGCCGCGCAAAGCCCTGAACTCCTCAAGCTGCAATCTAGCGAGGCGCCCCATCGCTCACACCCTTCCGAGCTCAAGATTCAAAAAGGAACAGCGGAAACGGAGGCCATGAACCTTTTACCCTCATAAACACACATGCGAACCAACACACAGCAATGTGCCACCGCCATCATCACAGTTAAACATATCCATCTTAACATCAAAATGATCGTCATAACAATTCAGAATCGCCATAGAAAACGAATTCATAACAATCATCAGAGACGTCATACTCGTCAGAACGACACTGTTGCTACTCACAAGAGGAAGAAGAACAATATTATCAATCATCTCATATCATGATAATACTGATCATCATTCATGATCTTCGTTATCTTAAGCATCATGCCCAGTTTCATCCTCATCGTCCTTTATCATCACCATCCTGATCATCATCGCCATCACCATGCTGCCCAAGCGCCATCCAGTCACACCAAAGCCCGCAAGCTCTACTTGCAACCCCGAACCTACAAATCAGTAGGCCCTAAGGCCGTCAGGGACCCCTAGATACAGGGCATACCCCAACCCCACCCTCCTCTCCACTCCAAGCCAAGAAAGCACGAAGTACAAAGCCAGGACTCAGCCGAAGTCCTGCAACAACTTGGCGCCGTGTCATGCTCGGACGAGCTTGCAGGGAGAAACCCTGAACCCTCACCGCCAGGTTGCAGGGAGAAATCCCTTAGCCCTAAACCCTATACCCTGAAACCCTAAACCCTGACTGCCAGGTTGCAGGGAGAACTTCAAGGTGGCGCCGCTGGAGGCATCGAAGGTGTAGCAGCGCTGGGTGCCAGCGGGCTGATCTTGCCATGGCAGCCTGGCGGGCCGAGTTGCTCAGGGTTTGGGGTTTAGGGGTTTAGGGGTTTAGGGGTCTAGGGGTTTAGGGGTTTAGGGGATTAGGGGTTTGGGGGTTTAGGGGTTTGGGGTTTAGGATTTAGGGTTCGGTTCTGGGTGCTTAGGGCCCCAAACCCATGGGCTTTTTGGTACGGGGGTTTAGGCGGGTTTGGGGGCGCATAGCTTTGTCTAAGCTCCAACCCTACGCAGAAACAACGCTCTACAAACCTTTTATAGGGTTTAGAGTTTAAGGTCGACATCCCTAAATCGCCCATGCCACTCTGTCACTTCGAACCAAGCGGCGGACGCCCTGGCCCTGCCACCAGCTGCTCCCTGTCTCTGAGCCTCGGGGATCGCACCCTAGGGTCGGGGATTTGTCAGAAGTTCCGATGATAAGATCAGTCCTTAATAAGGATTATGGTACCCCGATGATACTGCGCATAAAGAACTGCTAATAAAAGGGGAAACATTTCAAGATTATAGGTTTAGCTGGGAGCTTGGGGTTGCGAAAGAGGACCTCAGCCCTGAGGGTCTTTTGGCTTTGGGCCCCAAGAAGCCAGATGCCGACGTGGTTTAGGGTGTGTGGACTTCGCACTGCAACCCCTGTGAGCACCACCGCTGAAACTGAAACCCGGAAGGATAGAAAGAGCAGACACCAACAAAACTCCACAGTCCCGAAAACCCTTGCAGCTGTAACACAGATTGGAGTTGCTGAATTGAGGCTTTCAAGAGACCCTCCCACAAACAAAACCTTGAAGCCTTAGTCCTTTCAAAGAAATTAATCCTAAACCCATCATAAACATTAAGTCCTAGATCCTGATGAACCCTGAAGCCCAGAAACATGCAAACGCGAAACCCTAAACCCTAAACCCTAGACCCTAGACAGACCCTACACCCTGAACCCTGAACCCTGAACCCTAAACCCTGAACCCTGAACCCTGAACCCTGAACCCTGAACCCTGAACCCTGAACCCTAAACCCTAAACTAAACTCTACACCTCCGAGCAGTAGCGGCCCAGGAGCCAGACGGGCGGTGCCGCCCAAGAAGAGGCGCGGCAGTGGCAGTTCGAGGCGCGCAGGAAGACCTCGTGGAGGGTTTAGGGTTTAGGGTTGAGGGTTTAGGGGTCAGGGTTTACAGGTTTAGTTGCTCTGGCATTCTTCCCACCAAACCCGAAACCCTAAACCCTAAACCCTAAACCCTAAACCCTAAGAATCCTAAACTCCCCCCCCTCCCCTAGGGTCCTCAGCCACCTCACCCGGCGCGGGTGAGCGGATCGTCAGCCTCGGGCCCCAGGTGAAATGTCGCGCCTCGGCTTGTCGGATTTTGGGATTCATAATTTAAGGTTTAGGGCTGTTCAAGGTTTAGGGTTCAGGGTTTAGTGCCCCGAAATGCGTTCTGGTTCTTAGAAGGGAAGTAAGGACATTCAGTTGACTTTTTCGGAAGCACCTAGACAGTCCGACAGTCCGAGTGGCTTCGTGCATCTCAGTCCTCTCCCAGGCCTGCATCAGACCAGGATGGCTCTCCGCCTGGTCCAGGCGCACCACGCAGAACTCGATCTCCAGATCCGGCTCCGTTGAGATGACCGTGGAGGTCCAGCAGTCTCCCTCCCACCATAAGTCGAGGCCTCCTTGGGGCTCCCAGGATGTCTCCTCTTTGCAGAAGCCCAGCTCCTCGAGATTTCCCACAATTCGCGGCCGCATCGGTCCGGTATTCGTCCTCGTGTCGGGCCTCGCCCACGGCGGGCCCAGCAAGACCTGCGCGGCATCCTGGGCCAAGCGGAAGCGGATGCCGGCAGGCTTCACCGGCTGCAGGTCCATGTGCCCCTCCGTCCAGTCATGGGAGAAGTAGCAGGAGCCGCCCCACTCGCAGTAGCCATTCTGAAAGTCTCTGCAGATGTGTCGCTCTGGGCGCTGCTCCTCCCATCCGGAAGTGACTGAAGTGCTGCGACCCCAGCTGGAGTCAGAGTCTCTGCATGCATCGTATGAGTTCTCTCTAGGGCTCTCGGGGCCTTGCTCAAATCTTCTCCGTGGACTTCTCTTACTTTTCCGTCCACCGTCCCTTCTGACACTCTTTATCCACCACTTTCCTTCTGATGAGTTTACGGACCGATGCTTGCTTGACTTTCCAGGGGAGCTGGACGGCCCCACACTCCGTTTGTGCCAAGCTTCTCGTGACATGGGTGCCCTTAAAGCGGGGGGGGTGCCCTTCTGACGACTCCCCACACTGCTCGGAGCCTAGTGTTTAGTCGGGCCCACCAGGCTGCGGGCACCCTCGACACTAAATATTCTGTACATTCCTAAGTTCGGAGTTTGGGGGGTTGGGGGCGGGGGGGGGGGGGGGCTCTGTTCTTACAGCATGCTGCACGGCAGTGACAAGCATGGTCCCAGGCCTCTTGATAGTGGCAAATGCTGAGGAACCACGTGCTGCAGCAAGCTGGGTCGCACACGCGCACTCGGCCGGTAGAAGTGGCAGACTGATGACCAACAGCGAAAACGAATCACTCCTCAGCACCCCCATGCCCCGGACTCCGTTCCAGAGTTCTACTGAGACTGTGATCTTGCGACAGTAAACCCTCTTGCACATTTTGGGTGCGGAGGGTCGAAATGGCAAGAATGCGTTGGCCTGAAACGGGACAAACCATAGGGAGTTAGTTCTAAAACGCAGGTCTTTCTTTCGAGGGTGGGGGGAGAAGTGATTCGACCGTCTGATGTATTGTCTGGGTGCAAAGGGTTCAGGGCATGTAGTTCGGGTTTCCCGATGCCAGACACTACATCAATTGCTATCGGAATCTTTTGCCAGAAGTTGTAGGGTTTATTTAGGGAAAGTAACGAATTCGTCCCTGTAGCCGAATACACAGCCCAACACAGGAACCTCAGAAACAAGAGAATTGAACTGAGTTCGGGCAGGTTGAATGACATGTCGCAACAGACCAACCAGGTAAATCAGTTGAGTAATGCACATACATAAATGAAAAACAAATATGGATAAACACAGTGCATATATATATATATGTAAGAGGGACCTTTAGGTACTATGTGATTACTTTCCTTTCTTGAGGAAAGAGGTTAAATAGTTTAGATAGTTTAAATAGTTTAGATAGTTGAGATAGTTTAGAAGAGCCCCTAAACTATCTAAACTATCTAACCTCGATTTTGGGAAAAACAAAGGTTAGATAGTTTAGATAGTTTGGATAGTTCGGGAAGCCCCTGAACTATCTAAACTATCTAAACTATCTAACCTCTTTCCGGGGAGGCCCCCAGGAGGTTTGAAACTTTCTAAACTATCTAAACTATCTAAACTATCTAAACTATCTAAACTATCTAACCTCGATTTTGGGAGAAAAAGGAGGTTAGATAGTTTAGATAGTTTAGATAGTTTAGATAGTTTAGATAGATTTAGACGAGCCCCTAAACTATCTAAACTATCTAACCTCGATTTTGGGAAAAAATGAGGTTAGATAGTTTAGATAGTTTAGATAGTTTAGAAAGTTTCAAACCTCCTGGGGGCCTCCCCGGAAAGAGGTTAGATAGTTTAGATAGTTTAGATAGTTCAGGAAGCCCCTGAACTATCTAAACTATCTAAACTATCTAACCTCTTTCCGGGGAGGCCCCCAGGAGGTTTGAAACTTTCTAAACTATCTAAACTATCTAAACTATCTAAACTATCTAACCTCGATTTTGGGAGAAAAGGAGGTTAGATAGTTTAGATAGTTTAGATAGTTTAGTTTAGACGAGCCCCTAAACTATCTAAACTATCTAACCTCGATTTTGGGAGAAACGGAGATAGTTTAGATAGTTTAGATAGTTTAGATAGTTTAGAAAGTTTCAAACCTCCTGGGGGCCTCCCCGGAAAGAGGTTAGATAGTTTAGATAGTTTAGATAGTTCAGGAAGCCCCTGAACTATCTAAACTATCTAAACTATCTAACCTCTTTCCGGGGAGGCCCCCAGGAGGTTTGAAACTTTCTAAACTATCTAAACTATCTAAACTATCTAACCTCGATTTTGGGAAAAAGGAGGTTAGATAGTTTAGATAGTTTAGATAGTTTAGATAGTTTAGACGAGCCCCTAAACTATCTAAACTATCTAACCTCGATTTTGGGAAAAAAGGAGGTTAGATAGTTTAGATAGTTTAGATAGTTTAGATAGTTTAGACGAGCCCCTAAACTATCTAAACTATCTAACCTCGATTTTGGGGAAAAAGGATGTTAGATAGTTTAGATAGTTTAGATAGTTTAGATAGTTTAGATAGTTTAGAAAGTTTCAATTCCCTCTGGGTCGTCCCCAGCCAGAGGTTAGATAGTTTAGATAGTTTGGATAGTTCAGGAAGCCCCTGAACTATCTAAACTATCTAAACTATCTAACCCCTAGCTGAGCAGTCCTCCCTGTGCAGGGCGCCAAGGGGATCCCGGCAAATTTCGACCCGCAAAGTTGTTCCTACCCTCTTCCGTTTTGTGTGGTATTTGCAGGACTTTGGAAGGGCGCCAAGGGGACCCCGGCAAATTTCGACCTGTAAATGTTGTCCCTACCCTCTTCCTTTTTGTGTGGTATTTGCAGGACTTTGGCAGGGCGCCAAGGGAACCCCGGCAAATTTCGACGTGCAAAGTTGTTCTTCCACTCTTCCGTTTTGTGTGGTAGTTACAGGACTTTTTGCAGGGCGCCAAGGGGATCCCGGCAAATTTCGACCCGCAAAGTTGTTCCTACCCTCTTCCGTTTTGTGTGGTAGTTGCAGGACTTTGGAAGGGCGTTAAGGGGACCCCGGCAAATTTCGACCTGTAAATGTTGTCCCTACCCTCTTCCGTTTTGTGTGGCGTTTGCAAGACTTTGGCAGGGCGCCAAGGGAACCCCGGCAAATTTCGACATGCAAAGTTGTTCTTACCCTCTTCCGTTTTGTGTGGTAGTTACAGGACTTTTTGCAGGGCGCCAAGGGGATCCCGGCAAATTTCGACCCGCAAAGTTGTTCCTACCCTCTTCCGTTTTGTGTGGCATTTGCAGGACTTTGGAAGGGCGCCAAGGGGACCCCGGCAAATTTCGACCTGTAAATGTTGTCCCTACCCTCTTCCGTTTTGTGTGGCATTTGCAGGACTTTGGCAGGGCGCCAAGGGGATCCTGGCAAATTTCGACATGCAAAGTTGTTCCTACCCTCTTCTGTTTTGTGTGGTATTTGCAGGACTTTCGCAGGGTGCCAAGGGGATCCCGGCAAATTTCGACCCGCAAAGTTGTTCCTACCCTCTTCCGTTTTGTGTGGTATTTGCAGGACTTTGGAAGGGCGCCAAGGGGACCCCGGCAAATTTCGACCTGTAAATGTTGTCCCTACCCTCGTTTTGTGTGGCATTTGCAGGACTTTGGCAGGGCGCCAAGGGGATCCTGGCAAATTTCGACATGCAAAGTTGTTCCTACCCTCTTCTGTTTTGTGTGGTATTTGCAGGACTTTCGCAGGGTGCCAAGAGGATCCCGGCAAATTTCGACCCGCAAAGTTGTTCCTACCCTCTTCCGTTTTGTGTGGTATTTGCAAGACTTTGGCATGGCGCCAAGGGGATCCCGGCAAATTTCGACATGCAAAGTTGTTCCTACCCTCTGTCGTTTTGTGTGGTATTTGCAGGACTTTCGCAGGGCGCCAAGGGGATCCCGGCAAATCTCAACCCGCAAAGTTGTTCCTGCCCTCTTCCGTTTTGTGTGGTATTTGCAGGACTTTGGCAGGGCGCCAAGGGGATCCCGGCAAATTTCGACCTGCAACGTTGTTCCTACCCTCTTCCGTTTTGTGTGGTATTTGCAAGTCTTTGGCAGGGCGCCAAGGGGATCCCGGAAAATTTCGACCTGTAAAGGTTGTTCCTGCCCTCCTCCTTTTTGTGTGGTATTTGCAGGACTTTGGCAGGAGGGGCTCCCGGCAAATCTCAACCCGCAAAGTTGTTCCTACCCTCTTCCGTATTGTGTGGTATTTGCAGGACTTTGGAAGGGCGCCAAGGGGACCCCGGCAAATTTCGACCCGTAAAGGTTGTTCCTACCCTCTTCCATTTTGCGTGGTATTTGCAAGACTTTGACAGGGCGCCAAGGGGATCCCGCAAATTTCGACCCGCAAAGTTGTTCCTACCCTCTTCCGTTTTGTGTGGTATTTGCAAGTCTTTGGCAAGGCGCCAAGGGACTCCCGGCAAAGCTCAACCCGCAAAGTTGTTCCTACCCTCTTCCGTTTTGTGTGGTATTTGCAGGACTTTGGCAGGGCGCCAAGGGAACCCCGGCAAATTTCGACATGCAAAGTTGTTCTTACCCTCCTCCGTTTTGTGTGGTATTTGCAGGACTTTCGCAGGGCGCCAAGGGGATCCCGGCAAATTTCGACCCGCAAAGTTGTTCCTACCCTCTTCCGTATTGTGTGGTATTTGCAGGACTTTTGACATGGCGCCAAGGGGATCGTGGCAAATTTCGACCTGTAAAGGTGGTTCCTACCCTCTTCCTTTTTGTGTAGTATTTGCAGGACTTTGGCAGGGCGCCAAGGGGATCCCGGCAAATTTCGACCCGTAAAGGTTGTTCCTACCCTCTTCCATTTTGCGTGGTATTTGCAAGACTTTGACAGGGCGCCAAGGGGATCCCGCAAATTTCGACCCGCAAAGTTGTTCCTACCCTCTTCCGTTTTGTGTGGTATTTGCAAGTCTTTGGCAAGGCGCCAAGGGGATCCCGGAAAATTTCGACCTGCAAAGGTTGTTCCTGCCCTCTTCCTTTTTGTGTGGTATTTGCAGGACTGTGGCAGGGCGCCAAGGGGATCCCGGCAAATCTCAACCCGCAAAGTTGTTCTTACCCTCTTCCGTTTTGTGTGGTATTTGCAGGACTTTCGCAGGGCGCCAAGGGGATCCCGACAAATTTCGACCCGCAAAGTTGTTCCTACCCTCTTCCGTTTTGTGTGGCATTTGCAGGTCTCTAGATTTACCTCTACGTAATACAATTCAATGTATTTAAATAATTTAATTCCACAGAATTACATTATCTAAATTAATTTAATCTGAATACGTGAAAAACAATTTAAATAATTTAGTTCTGTGGGAGTAAATTCTTTAAATAAATTAACTTAGTTAAATTGTTTAAACCAATTCAATTAGGGGTAAATCCCTAGCTGAGCAGTCCTCCCTGAATCGGTTTTCCAAAAACTTACAGGGGGACACTGCTTGCGACTTGTCATTTTGGGAGCTCA